GATGAGATGGTTGGATGGTATCACTGACTCGATGGACATGAGTTTGGGTGAACTCCAGGAGTTGGTGATGGACAGGGAGGCCTGGCGTGCTGCGGTTCATGGGGTCGCAAAGAGTTGGACATGACTGAGTGACTGAACTGTACTGAAAAACTAAAATGAATAAAAGTACGTAACAAAACAGAGAGACTCAAAGATACAGAGAACAAACTACTGGTTATCAGCAACGATAAGGAAGGAGGGAGGGGCCAGATAGGGTATAACATTGAGAGATACAAACTACCACACACAAAAAAGCAATAAGGATATGTTGTACAGCATGGGGAAATAAGCTATTATTTTATAATAACCTTAAAAGGATTATAATCTATAAAAATACTGAATCACTATTTTGTACACCTGAAACTAACATAATATTGCAAATCAACTAGTTTTCAGTTAAAAAAAAAGCAATTCTAAGAAATTCATATTAATAAAACCTTAGAAGAAAAAAATGATCTCAAATGAACAATCTAACTTTATAGTTCAAGAAACTAGAAAAAGAATAAATTAATAAGTCCAAAACTAGTACAATAAAGAAAATAAATATCAGAACAGAAATAAATGAAAAAGACCAAAAGAAAAGATTAATAAAACTTAGTTTTTTAAAAAGATAAATAAAATAGAATAACTTTTAGCTAGACTTGCAAGAGAAAAAAAAGGAGTTAAATAGATGTAATTATAAATGAAAGTAGAGACATTACAGCTGATGCATGACAAATATAAAGGTCATAAGAGATTATTGTGAAGAATTATACAACAAAAATTTGCTCTTGTTGGCTTTCTTGTTTTTTTGCTTTCTCTGGTTTTGGGTATGAGATATCATTTTCTCTCATCTGTTAGCATAGCATTTATACTTTTTTTTTGATGTTTTAATGGTTTTTCCTAGTATTCCCAATATACATTTACAAGTTATTTAAGTTTATTTTCAAATAACATTATAACATGGCATTGATATTACAAGTACTTTATAAAAATGTATTCCCAATTCCTCCCTCCCCTTTTATAAGACACTGTCATTTATTTCACTATCCATAAATTATAATCACTGAATACCCTAATGCCATGATTATTTTGAAGAATTACCTATCACAACAATTAAAATAATAAAAATAAAAACATAGTCTACCATCATTTATTCCCCTCTAGTGCTCTTCATTTTATATGGATCTATTAATGGCAACCCACTCCAGTATTCTTGCCTGGAGAATCCCAGGGATGGGAGCCTGGTAGGCTGTCATCTACGGGGTCGCACAGAGTCGGACACGACTGATGTGACTTAGCAGCAGCAGCATTAATACATCTAATAAATCATATCATTTTTTCTGAAGAAATTCTTTAAACATTTCTTACAAAGCAGGTTTACTGGTGACAATTCCCTTATATTTTGTTTAAGAGTATCTGAGAATATTTCTCCTTCACTTTGAAAGATAGTTTCATTGCATATACCATTCAAGGTTCACTTTTTTCAATCCTTTACATATTTCACTCCATTCTTGCTTACATTGTTATAAGTAAAGTTTTATTTCCTCTGGCTTTTTTTCAAGATTGTTTTTGATTCTGCAGGTTGAATGTGATATGCCTACCTGTAGATTTTTTGGAATATTAATCAATTTTGGTGTTCCTGAGCTTCCCAAATGTATGGTTTGGTGTCTGTCATTAACTATGGAAAATTCTCAGCCATTATTACTTCACCTATTTCTTTGGTTCTTTTGTCTCCTCTTTCTGGCATTTCCATTATACTTGCATTACATCTTTGTAATTGCTTCATTGTTCTTGGATATTCCGTTTCAGTTTTTTTCATTCTTTTGTCTCTTTGCTTTTCAGTTTGAAAAGTTTCCACTGATGTGTCTTCAAAGTCGTTAATACTTTCTTCAGTTCTGTCCAGTTTACTGATGAATCAATGAAAGGAACTCTTTATTTTATTTTAGAGCTGTTTTGGCTTTCTAGAATTTACTTTTGATATTTTTCTTAGAGTTTCCATCTCTCTGCTGGCATTATCTAGATTTTCTTTCATGTTGTCCACTTTTTCCATTAGAACCCTTAGAATATTAATCATAGTTACTTTATGTTCTCAGTCTGATAATTCCAAAATCTCATTTCTTTTAAAGCCAACAACAAATGTTATTAATTATCCTTAACATGAGACTACCTTTCATCTACTTTCTGGAAGAATATTTTCACTGGATAATAAATTATGTGTTTAAAGTTCTTTTCTGTCAGGACTCTTAAGACATTGTTCTACTATCTTTTGAACCTGTGGCTTCTGATGAGAAATTCACAGTCATTGTCTCACTGTACCTATAGTTTCTATTTTAACATTCTCACTTGATAATGTCAATATCTGGATCCCCTATGGGTCTATTCTACAATCTGTTTTGTCTCATAGCTTTGTGCCTGTCTGGTATTTTCTTTAATGCAAGACCCTTGTCTGCAACACTTTACAGCTTTGTATGATACTATCTTTCTTTCAGAGTGTCAGGTCTTTCTGCTGCTACAGTGCTGGCTGACCGAATTAATCCAATTAGAGAAGAATTAACTCCTGGCTGGTTACAGTAGTATAGGGAGGCCCTCACTCTTAGATCTTAACCTTACAGAGGTATCAGTTAAGAACAGGGTGGTTACCATGGCTCCTTCCCAACAGCACATCCTAAAATTGAACTCTTATCTATAGAGCATCACAAGACCAGCGAAAATTTTCTTTGTTTTTTATATTATTTTTACTTTATTTTAGCCTCTTGGCTTCACTGTCTGGTAAATGTGCTGAGTGAAACTCCAAAAGAGTGTTATCTTATTTGTTTCCATCTCTTCTTCCTAATGTCATGTCCCTCTCCATGGCATAATTTTTATCTCTTTAGGCTGCAAGTTCTGTCAAAAATTTGTGCCAGATCTTGGTCATCTTACTATTAGGTTGGTGCAAAAATAATTGTGGTTTAGCATTGTTGAACTTCGCCCTTTGATACTGGAATACATTCTTAACTGCATGTGGTTATGTTATACATCATTTTAATACGCATCTCTTGTTTTACATTTTTGCTAATGAACTACTACTTGCTATTTATTTTATATGTACTTTAGACTGTGGAAATAATGTTAGACAAAAAATAAATTCAAGCAATTTTCTTATTCGAGTTCAAAATGGGTCATAAAGCAGCAGAGACAACTCACAACATCAACAATGCATGTGACCGAGGAGCTGCTAATGAATGTACAGTGCAGTGATGGTAAAGGAAGTTTTGCAAATGAGGCAAGAGCCTTAAAGATGAGGAGTGCAGTGGCCAGCCATTGGAAGCTGACAATGGCCAACTAAGAGGATCATCGAAGCTGATCCTCTTACAACTACATAAGAAGTTGCCTAAGAACCCAACATCGATCAGTCTATGGTCGTTTGACATTTGAAGCAAACTGGAAAGGTAGATAAGCTCAATAAATAGGTGCTCACTAGCAGACAGCATATCAAAAATATTGTCATTCTGAAGTGTCATCTTCTCTTACTTCATGTAACAAACAAGCCATTTCTCAATCGGATTTGATATACAATGGAAAGTGCATTTTATATGACAACCAGTGACGACCAGCTCAGTGGCTGGACCGAGATAAAGCTCCAGAACACTTCCCAAAGCCAAACTTGCACCAAAAAAAAAAAAAAATCATGGTCACTGTCTGGTAATCTGCTGCTGGTCTGATCCACTACAGCTTTCTGAATCCCAGCGAAACCGTTACACCTGAGAAGTATGTTCAGCAAATCGATGAGATGCATTGAAAACTGCACCACCTGCAGATGGTACTGGTCAGCAGAAAGGACCCAGTTCTTCTCCATGACAATGCCTGGCAGTACTTTGCACAACCAATGATTCAAATCTCAATGAATTGGGCTATGAAGTTTTGCCTCATCTGCCATATTCACTTGTCCTCTTGCCAACCGACTACCATTTCTTTAAGCATCTCAACAACTTTTTGCATGCTTCCACAACCAGCAGGACGCAGGAAATGCTTTCCAAGAGTTTGTCAAGTCCTAAAGCACGGATTTTTATGTTACAGGGATAAACAGACTTATTCCTTGTTGGCAAAAATGTGTTGACTAATGGTTCCTATTTTGATTAATAAAGACATACTTGAGTCTAGTAATGATGATTTGAAATTTAGGGTCCAAACCGTAATTACTGTTGCACCAACCTAATAGATGCTTTTCACCAAGACCCTTTGCCAGAAGTCCCAGTTTCTGGCCAATGTCCAGAGATAGTAAATGTATTCAGGGAAAACAGTAGTTGCAGAAAGTTGTTTCTCCTTACAAGGCTTGCCTTTCCCCAGGATCTGGGGGCTTCAGCTGCTACTTGCTAAGCAGCAGTCTGGTACCTTTAAACAGATCGTTCATGTTAACTCAGCTTTCTAGGCATACTCAGTGGGAGCACTGCTCTGCCATGTCGTTGAAGTCTAAGTCTAATTTTCTTTACTTATTTTACTTGCTTAGTCTTTCAGTCTCTAATTCCAGTTCTGTTTCTCTTCCTTAACATTAGGTAACATTAAAAGAATCTGTGCCCAGTTCTTTGCATTTTTGCAGGTTTCACTAAAAGGAGACCTTACTCATGCATACTTTCAGATGCCTTCAGTTCCATTCTTTGACAAGAAGCCTGACATAACAATTCAGATAAAGGTAAGCCTGGCTTCATATAGTTAGTATGGTCTCCTAGTTGCTACTCACTTTAATACAGGTTTCTACTTCTGGGTTCTGATTCATTTCAACATCTTTTTTTTTTTTTATATCAATGCACAAGCAGTTACACCACAAGCCATCATTATGATATTTCTGCCTTTACAATGAAAGGTGAAACTATGCTTTATGTTTCTTTTACATGTTCAATAATGCCAAGAATGTTATGAACCTATTAGGGTTACTGGGTAAATAATTATTGACTAAGAAATATGTGATTGGTTTGGATATAAAAATACAAAATTATACTTACCCACCATAATCTTCAGTGATCCCAGCAAATGGTATTGGATCACAGTATACAAAAACTACAAATGCAAGCAGTACAAGGGATATAGCAGATGTAACTATTACAAATTTCATAAGGCCTTTAGAAGACATGTGTAACTTGGAAATAATGATACCTCCCAGAATCTGGCCAAGTGCACCTCCTGGAAGTAAAACAAGTCCTAAAAGAAAGGAGGAAGAGAAAGCACAGTTAAAAACAGCAGATGCATGGCAGACACCAACACAGTACTGTACAGCGATTATCCTCCAACAACAACAACGACACAAGAGTCAGCTAAAGACAGTACAGAAAATCCACACGTCGATGCAATCTTCTCTGCTCTAAACGTAGAGCAAATACAAATTTAACTAAGAAGCCACGAGAAAACTTAAAGACACAACAAACAACAAACCTTAACCTTAAGAGAAATACAAATTTGTGCATGGCGCTGATGCTACAGGCCTAAAGGACCTAGAATAAGAGGTCCCACAAAATGTTTTACAGCAGCTGTGAGCAATGCAATAAAATCAATGCCAGAGAAACAACATCTGAAAGTCTGTAGCCAACTATGATAAATTTAAATAATTAAAGTGATATTAGTCCTGGGAATAAACATGTACTGTAATTATGGAGAAAATGTAAAAATAAAAAATATTAAATCATATAAAGTAATAAGGTAAGAAAACTTTATAACATCAGGACTAAAATGAAAACTGTAAAGGCTGCCAGAGAGTCTGGTACTTGCCAAGGAATTATAATTATAGTTTATTTTTTTAAAAGATAAAATTTAAAAAAAATAAAAATATAAAATTAATAACCTAGACCAAACACACATACATGCACACAATCCTGAGGAGTGGAGTTAGTGAACTGCAAGTGAGCAGCTAAACTTTCCTAAAACAACTGATGGGGATAAAATGAATAAAACATGAATCCATTGAGAGAAGACAGAATAATAGGGGGAGGAGTAAGAAGCAAAAGAGAAGTGCAAAAAAACAAAACATACAATTAAAAAATGAAAAATTAAATGTCAGAATTCACAATAATGATGTATGAATAAAACAACTATTAGAAAGACAGATGATGAAATTCGATATTGTTTAGAACGGAAAGTTTGAAAATAAATAGTAAAAGATATGTACCATGAAATGTAGATCATGAACATGTTTATACCTAATGATTCTCATTAAATAAATTATATAAACACTGCCTAGATTTCAAGAAAATTAAAAACCTATAAACAAAGTGTTTTAAATCAGCTGTCTCAGAGATGAAGATTTACTTTACAACACTATTAAAGATATGTAAAATATTAACTGATTTGAACAGGAGTTATTTAAAAAGAGAAATAAAAGCCTATGTCTACAAACAAAAAAACCCTCTTTTCAGCAAAGCATGGCTTAAGTAAAAATATGCTGATGAGAATTTAGAATGCTTAGAACCAAACAATAACACAAACTACATCTAAATGTATTGAGGTGCTAGCAAATAAAATCTATAAATAATGATACCTCCATCATAACTTGTTAGGAGAACTAAATGAGTTAATACTTAAGTGCTCAGGACAGAGTACAGTCACGCAGCAAACATATGAGTATTTGTTTAAAGGTAGAGTTTACAGACAACTTCATTTATTAGAAAAGCAAAAAGTACAAATAGTGTAGAGGCAATACTTATTAAGAAATTTGTGGGAACTTTAAGTGAATCAGAGAGTGAGCAATAAAGCTATAGGTAAAGAAGTCAAGAAGAAGTAAACCACATTGTAACTCATAATCTCAGAAATTAAGGGTAGGTATTAATATGACCGAAAGCAAGAGTGAGGTAGACTTAGGAAAACAACAGGTTTGGCTAGCAGTCTACATGAAATGTTTGATCCCCAATTCCTATCCCTAACCACAATGCCAGAGGACCCGAGGTTTATTCATTTTGAACCCAACAACCACAGAGTTGAGAAAATCAAGTACATCTGTGAGCATAAAACTGAAAACACAACTCAACTGAGAAAGTACTGGCTGCCAGGCTCATTGCCCCAGGCAATGAGAAAATACTGAACACTGGAAGTTCAACAATTAAACAACTGGGTCCTTCAGCACTACCCTAGAAAGACACAAAATGGTTGGAAATTGAATTGCAAAGCACAGAACTTCCAAGCAACTTTTTATGTAAATATTATATTGATGTACAGAAAAATACACAAATCAAAATTATACATTTGATGAATTTCCAAAGTGGACTTAACTCTGTATGCACATCCAGGTCAAAAAAATTAATCAAACATTTACTAGAAGACCAGAGGCTTTTTTTGTGCACTTAAAAGATTTTATAAAATGTGAATCTTAAAGTATGCATACATTATAGTTTCTTTTATAGGACATGATATTTGAAAAATCCACCCATGCTTTTGTATATAATAATAGTTCATGCCTTATCACTGCTGAATAGTATTCTAGTATGTGCATACAGCACAACTTATTTATTCACTGTGATGTTAACAAATTGTGCCACTACTATAAAAATTCATGTATATGTTCTTTTTGTAAACATTTGCATTTCTGTTTAATATATTCTTAAGAAAGGAACTTGTGTATATAACTAGGAGTTGAATTCTTGGGTCAGAGGATTATGTATAGGTTCAGATTTTTATGACACTGCCAAATAGATTTATAAAATGATGAACCAATTTACACTCTCACCAAGAGGGGATAAAATGGCAATTGCTCCACATCCATGCCAACATATCTTTCTCTTACATTTCAGCAATTCTGGTGAATGGCTACTAGTATTGCCTTGTGATTTTAATATGTATTTCCCTAATAAACTACTGAAGGTGAGCACATTTTCACATGAATATTGGCCAACTGGTATCATCTTTTATATAATGCCTGTTCAAATCTTTTATCCATTCTTATTGGATTATCTACCTTTTTATTATTAATATATTAATATATATTATTAATATATATTAATATATTAATATATTAATATATTCTGGACCCAAATACTTTGTAGAATATTTCTATTGAAAAGATTGTTTTATATGCATTTTCTCTCATCATGCTGACATTTGATGAAAATAAGTTCTTAATTTTAACGTAATACCACACTTTTTCCCTCATTTATGTAAATTTTTGTCTTGTTTAATAAATCTTTGTCTTCTCTAAGGCATGAAGATATTTTCCTATGTCTTTCTAAAAAGCTTTATTGTTTTACCATACACACCGAAACCTGCAATCTACCTAGAATTGGTATCTATGTATGTAGTTACATAAAGGTCAAGATTTGCCTTTATTTAAATTTGTCTTTATTTAAATACAGATTTAAACAATAACTGTATTCAAATAATTTTAAATTTAAAAATATTTAAATTTAAATTTTTGTATTTAAAAAATTACTACTTTATTTACTGGGCAATAGTTCTCTACTACCCTCTGATGCTGTATATCCTACAAGTAGATGTGCTGACTGCTTTTTGTTCTACATTTTCACAGATATTTCTATAGTGAACATGCTTGGATAAGTGAGAAAAGAGCACTTTTAGAGCACTTTTGTTGTGGCTTCACTATATTAATGCTGTGATTCCAATTTCAAAGTATAGAATCGGTAACTGTATTTTGCACACTTGTACTGCATACGCTTCTAAATTCTAAGAACGACCGTGGAACACATAAATTGCTATGCTTTCCCTCATGTATGGTCCAACAGGAACAACACAGAATCGCAGGAGGAGAAAGGAAAGTCCCAACTTCGACTAGGGACTTAAATGAAGCAGTGTCTCAATGCAACAGACCTCTTGTCCCACGGGAAAAAGTTACCAGGGGCTTGAGGTTTACAGTAGATTAGGCACCAGCTGAATTCATTGTCCCTACAGCCCTGACTGCCCCATACATGGTGACATCACTGACCGAGGGCACTGGAGACACTGTCTTGGACACCGCCAAAGTCTTCTCTGCACCCAAAGGAGACTGATTTTCATTCGTGCTACAAGGCTGCAAACACACATTTGCGGTACTCCCTCTGCTGCTGCTGCTAAGTCATGTCAGTCGTGTCCGACTCTGTGCGACCCCATAGACGGCAGCCCACCAGGCTCCCCACCCCTGGGATTCTCCAGGCAAGAACCCTGGAGTGGGCTGCCATTTCCTTCTCCAATGCGTGAAAGTGAAAAGTGAAAGTGAAGTCGCTCAGTCATTTCTGACTCTTAGCGACCCCATGGACTGCAGCCTACATTGAGGTGAAGGTGAAAGTGAAGTCGTTCAGTTGTGTCCGACTCTTTGCTACCCCATGGATTGTAGCCCACCAGGCTCCTCTCTCCATGGGATTCTCCGGGCAAGAATACTTGGAGTGGGTTGCCAGTTCCTTCTCCAAAGGATCTTCCTGACCCAGGGATCGAACCGGGGTCTCCTGCATTGCAGGCAGACGCTTTAACCTCTGAGCCACCTTACCACAAACCTAATATACCGATTTCAGCTTCAAGGCTCTGTGACTGATGGTTTTGTGTGCTGGAGCCTCTGGAAAAAGAGAGGAAGCCCCCATTCAGAAGCATTGTTGCTTGTATAGGAGTCACAGACTCCCTGAAACAGCTACATTTAAAAGCAGCTCTTAGCTTATTCTGGGGAAGAAAATGGAAACCCATTCCAGTATTCTTGCCTAGAGAATTCGGTGGAGAGAGGAGCCTGGTGGGCTGCAGTCCACGGCGTCGCAGGGAGCCAAACATGACCAAGTGACTAACACCAACACTTAGCTTACTACTGGTCTCTTGGCATAACCAAAGTCCTGACTCATAGAAAACTCGGGTTTGTGGACTGATATTCTCGTCTGGAGATGAACCAAAACAGACTCAGCACTAACCATCTGACAAGCCTTTCTTGTCAGCTGGAACTGGTCTGTTCAAGCCATGGAGGTGATCATAAAAGAGCCACAGATGTTTAAAGAAACACCACCACTAGACCATATAGCCCTCAGAATACTGTGGAAATTTCTTTCAAATGAAGTTACTTTCTTTACTCTGGAAAGATTTTCAGAGGGACTACTGATACACTATCTGCATATACCCTGAAGGCAGTTGTCTCTACTACTCTACAAGTAATCCGACCAGAAAATGTGGTACAAAAAAACTTGTCCCTAATTTTAGTTGAAATAATCAGTGACACCTCATCCCTGGAAAGCACTCTGGTCAGTCTCAAGCATTGTTATGGATGACTGAATTGCCCAAAACTTCATCCTTGCAGGCCTGGGTAGAATATATGCAATTACTAACCCATTCTGTTATGCCTGAATGAATACCTCAGGCTAAGTGAAAAAGTCAATACAGAAATTTAAGCAGAAAGTTATCTTGATAAGGTAGATGCTGAGGACCAAGAAATTTGGTCAGCTAGCTGCATCCAAACTTTGCTAGCATGATTGAGGCCAATACTGCAGGTGGCCTTTTCCTGTTCTTTGGAGACTTCTTTAATTAAATACTGTATGAAAAAAAAAACACTGAATGATTTAGTCCCTATCTCTGCTAATTATATTAATCATTGTCAAACAAAATGGTATACCTGTGGAAAAATCTGTCATATGGGCCCTGAAACTGTGTCATGTTTGGCTTTTGGACCATGTGCAATCCAACAATGGTGTGCCCCTTACCACAAAATCTACTCACCAATGGGCTGAAAGTCAAAGCTTTTGCACATATTAACATTTGTTTTTATTTGGCCCACATGTTTTATGTTCCTTCTTTTTTCCCTTTCTTATTTTTTAAAATTGTTAATAAAATATTTCAAAATAATGTACTCTTTACTATTTTCTTACTGGTTACCTGCAAGTTACAGTATGTATCCCTGATTTTTTACAGCATAAAATAAATGATCACATTCACCATCTTCCCATTAATGCCAGAACCTTAAAACATTTAATTCCATTTGCAGCCTCTTTTGGAGAACCAATTCTCAATATCTAATAAAACTGATGTACTTAATAGCAACGCCTCTTTGATGTCCAAACATAGATCAACTTTTACAAATGTGCACAAGGAACATGTATACGAGTCTATTTGTCACTTCATTGTTTGGAAAAGTGAAATAGTTGGAGGCAACTTCATGTCGATGTATATGATACAGAAAAAGAAACAGTATGCACAAAATAGAATCCCATGGCAATGTTAAAATGTCCTAAATAGAGATTAATATGAATCTGATAAACATAATTCCAGATAAAAGTAACAGAAGAGTACATACAAAATGATATATAGATTTTAGAAATAGACTGTATGTAGACAGGTATGTAAGAGGTAACAATATATAAATGTGTGAGAAGGAAAAACTCCAACTTTAAAAGAGGTGTAAGTTACCTCTGGAGAGGGAGGAAAAGAAATGTGATAAAAGGGAAATGCAGAAGTCCTACAAAATTTCTATGTGTTAAAAACCAGTGATGCAATGATGGAAAAATGCTCATATTTTAAAAATTTGAACAAGCAGTATTCATATATTTAAAATTTAAGCAAATGCTACTGTTCATTCTACTTCCCACTTAGTTGAAATATTTCATAAATACATACAAGAAAAATTCACATAAGAATTTCACGATGAGTACAATGAGTGGAAATGTTTACCTGCAAGTGCAGTCGCCTCAGTGGGTGTTAATATAAACTGATTTTCTATATATATTGGCAAAAATTCAGATGCTCCTATCATAACTAAAGATTCTGAAGCTCTGGACAGAGATAGGCACACAAATATTGGATTCTTGATCAGAGTCTGAAATAGAAATAAGTTACATATGAATTATTTTATTTTATTAGGTAAAGAAAAATAGATATACCCACCTGTATATTAGTGACCAATCCACAAAAAGTTTACCTTTGTCAATAACTGACAATACTATATGTATATAAAAATTGAAACAGAAATTTAAAATTCACCAATATACCATAAAAGACATTCAGTGTTTGAACCATTTTTATTTGCTATTTGCTCTCCATACCACCTATAATTTTTATTTGTGACTCTGGCAGTGTGCTAGAACTGCTAGAACTAGAATATTAATTTTCAAACTGACTTCTATATTTCTTAGATATGTATATATCTTTGAGAATGTTCAATGATGTTTTCTACTTGTATATTTTTAAATAAAATTAAAGTTTCTTTCTCTATCCCTAACCACTATTTCTGAAAACTATCATTTTCTGCATATTTATCAAATTCATCTTCTGAGTTATATTTAACACATTACATAGTGTAATACCACTCCCATAGGGTTAAATGCTTAAGTCGATTTGAGCTTCCTACTGGCACAAACAAGGTGACATTAAACATCCCTGTGCAACCCTTAAGGAAATAGGATAGAGTGTCTTTTTTAAGTATATATCCTAGACAGGGATGCTAGGGCTCCAGGATTTGGTATACCTCATGCCATTATTTCTCCAAATTTTTCTCCAAAATTGTCAGTTTATACTCCCACTGTAATATAAGAGAATTTCACTTTCTTCATGTAGCAACTGATACTTTTTAAAATTCATCAAAGCAATATTTCTGATTTTATATCCCTTTCCAGAACTTCGCCATTCTCCAAGAAAGAGGCGTTGAACTTCAAAAGGCCTGAGTGACTGCCTCTCAAAGCAAGTAATGCTGCACAACTTCTGAGGCCGGGTCATAAAATGACAGTTTGACTCCTGCTGGGAACTCTCTCTCTCAGGAGTCTGGCTGTGGAACTTGGTTACCACATTCTGAGAAAACCCAGGCCAGAAGGGGAGGTCATGTGTGGGCATTCCAGCAAACAGCCAGAATCAAAAGCTAATATATGGAACAAGCCTTCAGATGACTTCATCACCCAGACTTACTTCATTACAATTGATCAAAACAGATGCTGTATTATTTTAAGCCACTAAGTTTGGGGGTGGTTTGTCACGTAGCAACAGATAACTGGCACACCCCACATAATCACAAACACTTTAATATTAGTTGGCTTTCAAAATTTTGCCATGCTGATGAATGTATATTATTACAATGCTACATTTTATAATTCTCTAACTTCAAATATAACTGAGCATTTCTTCATATAATTTCTTATCTATTTAGTATTCACTTGGGAGTACGAACTGGCTATTTATATACTTCCTGAAATTCTTCTGCAGATTTTATAAGAACTCTCACTTATTCTAAACATTAATCTTGTGTTGGATTTAGATATCTGTCACCCACCTTTTAACACTGTCTACAGCTTCCTTTATTGAACAGAAATCTTAATGTAATGTATTTAAGAAATCTTAATTACATTAATGTCTTAACATAATCTAATTCATAAATAAGTTCACATTTGACACTATTACAAATCTTGTATATTCTTTTCATATCCTTATATTGCAAGGTGTTTCTTTCATTTTAAACCTTGACTTTGTCATTTTTTATAGTCACATTCTATTAACCTAGAAATCATCTTTTTGCATAATATGAAGTAGCCAGCCAACTTCACTTTACCACACAAAGAACCGAGTTAGTCATCATACCTACTGAACAATTATCTTCGGAATGCCTCCTCTATCATATGACAAGTTCTTATATACACTAATCTGTAGCTGGGTTTTCTGTTCCACCGGCCTGTTTATTTGTACTGAGGAAATATTACCTTTTCTTTTTTTAACCACTATGGCTTTATATCGGGTCTTATTGTGTACTAGAATAAACATTCTTTGTTTCACTTATTCATGCCCTTGCATACTCAGTCACTCAGTGACTTCCCTGCCAGGCTCCTCTCTCCATGGAATTTTCCAGGCAAGGATACTGGAGTGGGTTGCCACTTCCTTCTGCAGGGGGTTTTTTCAACCCAGGGAGGAGCATAACCTTGCACACCAGAGTAACACCCACTTTTCCCCACAGCCAGTCTCTCCCATCAGAAGCTTGCACAAGCCTCTTACCCTCATCCATCAGAGGGCAGATAGAATCAAAACTACAATCACAGAAAACTAACCAAAATGATCACATAGATCACAGCTTTGTGTAACTTAATGAACCTATGAGCCATGTCCTGTAGGGTCACCCAAGACAGACGGGTCATGGTAGAGAGTTATGACAAACTGTGGTCCACTGGAGAAAGAAATGGCAGACCAGTTCACCATTCTTGCCTTGAGAATCCCATGAACAAAATGAAAAGGCTAAAAGATATGATATTACTGGAGAAGAGCAGAGAAATATCTCCAGAAGGAATGAAGAGGCTAAGCCAAAGCAGAAACAATGTCCAGTTGTGGGTACGTCTGGTGGTGAAGGTAAAGACTGATGCTCTCAAGAACAATACTGCACAGGAACCTGTTAGATCCTTGAATCAAGGTAACTTGGAAGTGGTCAAACAGGAGATGAACACTGACAAGAGTGAACAAGAGTGAACACTGACATTTTAGGAATCAGCGAACTAAAGTGGGTTACTAGGAATGGGTGACTTTAATTCAGATGACCATTACATCTACTACTGTGGGCAAGAATCCCTTACAAGAAATGGAGTAGCTGTCATAGCCAACAAGAGTCCAAAATGCAGTACTTGGGTGCAATCTCAGAAATGACAGAATGGTCTCAGTTCATTTCAAGGCAAACCATCCAATATCACAGTAACCCAAGTCTATGCCCCAACCACTAATACCAAAGAGCTGAAACTGAATGGCTCTATGAAGACCTACAAGACCTCTAGAACTAACGCCAAAAAAAAAAAGATGTCCTTTTCATCATACAGGACTGGAACGCAAAAGTAGGAAATCAAGAGATACCTGGAGTAACAGGCAAGTTTGGCCCTGGGATACAAAATGAAACAGAGCAAAGGCTAACAGTTTTGCCAAGAGAACACGCTGGTCATAGCAAACACCCTCTTCCAACAACACAATAGATGACTCAACACATGGACATCACCAGATGGTCAATACTGAAATCAGATTGATTATATTCTTTGCAGTCAGAGATGGATACGCTCTATACAGTCAGCAAAAGCAAGACTGGTAGCTGATTGTGGCTCAGATCATGAACTCCTTATTGCAAAATTCCAACTTAAATGGAAGTTAAGTGAGTGAAAGTCACTCAGTCATGCCCGACTCTTTGACCCCATGGACTATACAGTCCATGCAATTCTCCAGTCCAGAATACTGGAGTGTGAAGCCTTTCCCTTCTCCAGGGGATCTTCCCAACCCAGGGTCGGAACCCAGGTCTACTGCATTGCAGGCATATTCCTTACCAACTGAGCTATGAAGAAAGTAGAGTAAACCACTAGGCTACTCAAGTATGACCTAAATCAAATACTTTATGATAATACACTGGAAGTGAGAAATAGATTCAAGGGATTAGATCTGATAGACAGAGTGCCTATCTATGGACGAAGGTTTGTGACATTGTACAGGAGGCAGTGAGCAAAACCATCCCCAAGAAAAAGAAATGCAAACAAGGCAAAATGGTTGTCTGAGGAGGCCTGACAAATAAATGAGAAAAGAAGAGAAGTGAATGGCAAAGGAGAAAAGGAAAGATACATCCATCTGAATGCAGAATTCACAGAATAGCAAGGAGAGATAAGAAAGCCTCCCTCCGTGATCAGTGCAAAGAAAAAGAGGAAAATAACAGAATGGGAAAGACTAGAGATCGCTTCAAGAAAATTAGAGATACCAAGGGAACATTTATGCAAAGATGGGCTCAATAAAGGACAGAAATGGTATGGACCTAACAGAAGCAGAAGATATTCAGAAGAGATGGCAAGAATACACAGAAGAACTGCAGAAAAAAAATATATTAACGACCCAGATAACCATGATGTTGTGATCACTCACCTAGAGCCAAGTATCCTGGGATGTGAAGTCAAGTGGGCCTTATGAAGCATTACTATGAGCAAAGCTAGTGGAGATGACAGAATACCCATTGAGTTATTTCAAATCCTAAAAAATGATGCTGTGAAAGTGGTGCACTCAATATGCCAGCAAATTTGGAAAACTCAGCTAAGGCCCCAAATTTGAAAAACTCAGTTTTCATTCCAATCACCAAGAAGGGCAAGGCCAAAAAATGTTCAAACTACCACACAATTGAACCCATTTTACATGCTAGTACGGTAATTCTCAAACAGTATTGAACTGAGGACTTCCAGATGTACAATCTGGATTTAGAAAAGGAAGAGGAACCAGAGATCAAATTGCCAACATACACTGGATCACAGAAAAAGCAAGAGAATTCCAGAATAATATCTACTTCTGCTTCACTGGCTATGGTAAAGCCTTTGACTTTGTGGCTCACAACAAACTGTGGAAAATTCTTTAAAAGATGGGAATAACAGACTACCTTACCAGCCCTTTGAAATATCTGTATGCATGTCAAGAAGCAACAGAACTGGACATGGAACAACAAACTGGTTCAAAATTGGGAAAGAAGCGCGTCAAAGCTGTATATTGTCACCCTGCTTTTTTAACTTATATGCAAATTACATCCTGTGAAAAGCCAGGCTGGATGAAGTTCAAGCTGGAATCAAGATTGCTGGGAGAAATGTCAATAAATTCAGATATGCAGATGACACCACCCTTATGGCTGAAAGCAAAGAGGAACAGCCTCTTGATGAAAGTGAAAGAGTTGAGAGTGGAAAAGCTAGCTTAAGACTAACATTCAGAAAAGTCAGATCATGGCATCCAGTCCCATCACTTCATGGCAAATAGATGGGGAAACAATGGAAACAGTGACAGACTTTATTTCAGGAGGCTCCAAAATCACTGGGGATGGTGACTACAGCCATGAAAATAAAAGATGCT